AACTATTTAAGAGACCAACTTAAGTTCATTGATTTTTTTAATGTTTTTCTATTTTCTATTTCCTTTATTTCTACTCTAACCTTTATATTTTCCTTCTTTGTCCTGTAATTTTGGTTTTAGCTCTTTGGGGTTTTTTTTTTTCCCTAGTTCTCTGACAATAAAATTATGTTGTTGGTTTGAGATCCTCCTTTTTGTAAATATAAAGGTACAAATTTCCCCTTTAGTATTATTTTCACTGCATCCCGTAAGTTTTGGTTTGTTGTATTTTTGTTTCCATTGGTCCTCAGACATTTTCTAAATTTTCTTGTTATTTCTTTTAATATGAGTCCACATTGGTTGTTTAAACATGCATTGTTTAATTTTACATCGCTGGATTTTCCTGTTTCCTTCTGCTTGTAATTGCTAGTTTAATTCCATTATAGATAGAAAAGACAACATGGTATGATTCTAAGATTTGTTTTGTGGGCTAATGTGGTCTGTCATAGAGAATGCTCCAATTCTGCTTGAGAAAATATGTATTGTGCTGTTATTTGATAGCGTTCTCCATTTGTCTGTTACGCTCAATTGGTCTACAGTTTGGCTAAAGTGCTTTATTTCCTTACTGATACTCTCTCTGATTATTCTGTATAAAAATGAAAGTAGAGTATTTAAGTTTTCTATTATTATTATTATGTTACTGCCTATTTCACCCCTCAGTTCTGTAAATATTTGTTGCCTGTATTTGAATGCTCTAACATTAAGGGCATATTATTTGTATCTTTCTGGTATATTGACCCTTTTAACTTTGTATAATATTCTTTGTCTCTCAGCATAGCTTTTGTCTTAAAATCTATTTTGTCTGATATAAGCATGGACATCCCTTGTTATTATAGACTCCTATTTGCATGAAATACCTTTTTCCTCCTTTAATTTCTAGACTATATGTGCTTTTCAATAAAAATTGAGTCTCCTGTAGTTTCATCTTTTTGTAAAAACCATTCAACCACTCTTTGTCATTAATTTGTGTGTTCACTCCATTTACATTTAATTATTGATAGAAAAAGACTTACTATTGCTATTTTGCTGATTATTTTCTTCCTCTCCTATAATTTTTTTTTCTTTTGATGTCTTCATGTGTTTTTAATAATTTTGCAATGACGTATTTTTATTTCCTGCTCATTTCCATTTATTTTTATTCTATATTGTCAAGGGTATTATCATTGTGAGTACATGAAAATCTTAGTTATAATAATCTAAGTTGATACAAAATAAATATTAGAACTTCAATTGCATATAAAAACTTTTTTATATCTGCTTCTCATTTTATATTAATTACAATAAGTACGTCTTTTTATATAGATTAACAGATAATTCTAATTTCTTTTTATGCTATTTTTAAAATTCTGTACTATATTTATATCATTTACTCACATACATTACAATACCCCCAGTTTCTGTATTGTCTACATAGTTACCTTTATCAGAAAACAGTATTTTGTAGTGGTTCTCCGTTGCTGCTTATCATTCTTTTGCTTCAAGTCATAGGAGTTCCTTCAGAATTTCTTATTGGGTAGGTCTAGTATTGACAAGCTCCCTAATTTTTGTTGTCTTAGAAAATCTTGAATTTTCTTACAAGTTTTGTTGAATATAGTATTGTTGGTTGGCGGGGTTTTTTTCCACCCCCAGGACTTGAATAGATCATCTCATTCCCTTCTGGCCCACAAGGTTTCTTTTAAGAAAGCTGTTAACAGCTTCCTTGTACTAAATGAATGTTTTTTTTGCTGCCGGTTTTAAGATTCTCTGTTTGTGTGTGACTTTTGATAGTTTGATTATATGGTATAGAGTTTTTTAGATTTACCTGATTTGGAATTATTTGAGCTTCTAAAATGTTTAAGTTCCTTTATCTCCTCAGTTTAAAAACTTGGGGGCCATAATTTATGTTATCAGGCCTTTCTCATTTACTTGTCTTCTGGTATTCCCATAATGCATATGTTGCCCTGAGGGATGTTGTTCTATAATTTCTTTTAGGCTTTTCATTTTTCTTCTTTTCCTTTTGCTTCTGTAGCTCTAATTTTAGAAGTTCTGTCTTTGATTTCATTGATTATTTTCTTCTGCTTAGCCACAGTACCTGTTGAGTCTTTCTAATAAATTTTTCAATTAAGTTATTTTATACTTCAAGAATTTGTTTGGTTCTTCATAGTTTCCACTTTGTTAATATTTCTATTTTGTTTATTATGTTTCTCATTTCATTTAGTTATCTGTTCATGTTGTCTTTTAATTCATTGCATACTTGACTAATTTCAAGTTTCCATATCCTCATTTCTTTTGGGTCCATTTCTGGAGATGTAATTTTTTTTTTCTTTTCATTTTAGTGTGCGAGAATCAACTCTTTCTTTTTTACTTTGTATTCTTTTGTTATGCGATTTTGATATTTAAGAAATCAGCCAACTCTCCCAGATTTTGTGACATGATTTTCTATAGGAACTCTCTTCATGAATTCTGGATAGAGACTCTGTGGCTTATTCATGCTTTTGTTCAAGTATGTATTCCTTCCTTTCTCCTTTAGGCTTGTGTGTGCAATATGCTTGAAAAGGTTTGCTCGTTGCTATTTAAGACCCTCCCCTGGTGCTTGAGGTACAGTGGACTCTCTGGGGCTGCATTCTATTGTCATACTGGTGCTCCACCTCGTGTCTCTATATGGAACTGCACTTTCCGCTGCGCATTTGGTTGTCTTTGCTCTGAAAAACCTGCTCCATTTCTGTTAGTACTTGAACATAGCCAAGTCAGAAGCAAGTCCTTGGGCAGCTTCCTTAAAAATCCAAATATTGAACATAGGGGATATAGATGTTTCCTTTTAATTGCATTGCGCAGTGTGGAGTAAGAAGGACTTTACTGAGAAAGAATGGAAACAATCATGATTTTTCTTGCCAGGTTTTCATGATAGCCTGGAGGTACAGAAGCTTTGTAATTGGGTTCTGAAGTTCTCACAGACACATTTAGTACATATGTTGTTAAATTTGTGTCTTGTTGTTGAGGTTCCAGGGCTGTTCTGCTGTGTTGCTGATGTCACTCTCTTCCACATTTTTCAGTTTTCAGTAAAGTGATTTTTTTAATGATTAGGACCCAACCAATTTTTATCACTATTCGATGACACAAATACTGTATACATTTTTTACAAGATGTTAGAACTGTCTTTGAAGAAAATCTTCGTAATTTTTGTCTAACTCAATTGCCCCTTTTCTCCTGTCTTATTCTTCCCATCATCAACTTAGTACAACTAGTTTTGATACTCTACCTTTTGTTTCTTTTTTATATTTTCTTTCAAAACTTTGTTATTCTCTAAGTTGTATCACTTAACAAATCTTTTCATTTCTTTTTATCTTCATTGATAGAATCTTATGCAGCAAGGAACACATCCACATTTTGTCAACTATCAGAGAGTTTTGTTGGGCCTTTTATCTCTATCCCCCAAACGTGGCCTGGGGCATGACACAGAGTAGGTTTTTGGTTATATGTATGTATGTATGAGTGTGTGTGTGTGTATGTATTCAATGTTTCTTAGGCATTTATGTGACAGGCACTGTCCTAATCACTGACGACAGAGCAATGAACAAAACAGACAAAAATCTCTGACTTGATGAGGCTAATATTCTGCTGTGGCAATGTAAAATAAACACATAAAGGGATACATGTATTGTGAGCAGAAAGGAGTGCAATTTTTAAAGAGTGTGGTTAAGGAAAGCCTCACTGTGAAAGTTCTATTGAGCAAAACTTTTATGGATATGTAGGAATGACTGATAGAAATACGACTATGGGGAAGAGCCTTTTATATCAAGTGAAAAGCAAGAAAAAAAATCCTAGAGCAATATAATGTGTCTGGAATGCTCGATATACAGCAAGAAGATCTAATGTCGCTGGAGAGGAATGACCAAGGAAAAGAGTAACAAAATACAAGATTAGAAATATAAAGAGGAATATTTGTCAGGAGGTGTAAATAAGAGGATGTTGTTCGTGGTCTTGTAGGTCATTGGAAAAACTTGATATTGCTGTAAATCACAAGGGAAGACAGGAAGACAGAGGGGCAGCATAGACTATTTCTGATTTATAAAGGACTTCCTTAGCTACTTTGCTGAGAAAAGGCTGTTAGGCAGACATGCAGAGAGACAGAAAAATGCCTTAGAAGGCTATTGTAATAATTGAAGATAGACGTGGTGGTAGAAACCACCAGGAACATAGGAGGAAATTAGAAGGGGTCATTTAGTTCAGGCTGGCAGAATAGCATAGACTTGGTGACTTAAACAACAGATATTTATTTCTCACATTTCTGGAGGCTGATAATTTTTATATCGGGGTGCTGGCAGGATTGAGTTCTGATAAGGGCCCTATTCCTGGTTTCCAGAGGGACATATTCTCCTTGTGTCCTCTCTCGGAAGAGAGAGAGGGAAAGAAAGAGGAGAGAGAGAGAGAGGGAGGGAGGGAGGGAGAGGGAGAGAGGGAGGGAGGGAGAGGGAGAGAAATAGAGGAACTCTCTAATTTCTCATCTTAAGGGCACTAATCCTATCAAGAGGGCTCCATTCTCATGACCTAATTACCCCCAAAAGACCCCATCACCAAATATCAACACATTGGAAATTAGAGTTTCAACATATAAATTTGAGGCAGGAGATATAAACATGTAATATATAACAGGGTAAATAATTAGTATAGAGCCCAAATAAATTTATGGATGTAAATGTGCGCTGTAAGAGAAATGATGATACATTTTATTAACATGAAATTGACAAAGTATCTATAACCACTGCATCTTACACTGAATATCAGTCACTTTTGTTGGTCATAAATGTTTGTTTTTGCCTCTGCAAAGTTCTGTTTTTAAGCTGACTTCCTAGAAATGCTACCTTTGAGAATGTACTGCCTCTCCCCTCCCCATTAGCCAATGCTATCTGTAAGGGTTATTGTTGAGTTTAAAATGAGGAAACTGAGGCCAGCAGAAAAAGATTAAATGCTAATTTATTCAGCTCCCGGGTGAGGTTCTGTGGTCCCGGGGAAAGAGGCCAGGGAAGTCACACCTGACTCTTCTGGGCATGGGGTTTTATAGGGAGTGAAGGTGTTTGGTTGCAGGGAAACGGCGTGATTGGGGCAGGCTGCTATTGGTAGGTAGGCGGGATTTTCCAATGGCAGGCTAGTTGCTGAGTGCAGAGCTTAGTGCTGAGTGCAGAGGGGTTTTCCAAGGCAGGCTAGGTGCCAAGTGCAGAAGTGGGTGTGTCCAAGCTCCTGGCGAGACAACTGGCCTTATATTCCGACCCTTTTGATGATATAAGACTCCGCTTCTTTCTGGCTACTTCCTGCTGAATAGGGGTGGAGTGAGGGGGAAGGGTCAGTTGGCTGGTGCCTCGGTTGGGAGTTGGACATAGAGGTGAAGCAGCATCTGGTTTACGGCCACCCTGGAAAATTCCCTTATACGAGCTTATAGAAACCTGAGGACAAAAAGGGCTAGCATTAGCAAAAGACAAACAATGATAATGGGGATGATAATAGGAGCCAGCCAGGTGAGCATGGGGGAATGCCACCAGGTAAGAGAAGAGCCTGGTACATTTTGTTTTCTTCGGAGGTCGTCTTGGAGGTGATAGAGAGTGCTGACATTCTCTTCTACTAGACTGGTTTCGTTGATGTAATAGCAGCAATGTATTGGGTTCTAGTGGTGGCGCCTTCCGTCCAAGATCCCTAGGCTGTAGAGATCCTGGTTTGAGCTCCCGGAGGAGAACACTGTCACCTGGCTGGAGGAGTGCCGCTGGATGGGGGTCCTCTGGTCCCGGGACAATGGGGAGAGCATGATCCGCATGTTCCCTAAGTAAGTGGCGGAGGAGAGAGAGGTAGGGGAAGGAGGAGGCTCGAGGAGGTGGTTGTATCGGGAGATTATGAGAGACCAGGAAAGGTCTTCAGTACAGCCATTCAAAGGGGCTGAGGCCCGTTGGTCCCCATGTCGTGGCTCGGACCCAGGCCAGGGCAAGGGGCAGGAGTATGGGCCAAGAGGGTTTTACCTCGATGGTAAGTTTGGCTAAATGACCTTTGAGGATGCCGTGAGCCCTTTCCACTTTAGCCAGTGACTGAGGGTGGTAGGGGATGTGTAGTTTCCAGGAGATGTTGAGAGACTTGGTGACCAGCTGGACCACCTGAGTTGTAAATGCTGGACCGTTGTCTGACTGGATGTTTGCAGGTAAGCCGAAACGAGGGATGATTTCCTGAGTCAAGAGGGAGGCCACCTTGTCCGCGGTTTCCCTGGAGGTGGGAAAGGCTTCAATCCATCCAAGAAAGATATCTACGAAGATTAGGGGGTAGTGGTGTTTTTTGTGAGTAGGCATATGAGTAAAATTAATTTGCCAGTCTTGGGCCAGCAGGTTGCCACGCATTTGGTGGATAGGAAATTGTGGCTTCAAGCTTCCCTGAGGGCAAGACCTTAGAGCAAGTAACACAAGCTTTGTGTACCTGCTCAATCATCTGTTGTAGACCTGGTGAAAAAAAGAGGGGCTGCACAAAGTGCTGTAATGCCTTAGGCCCTATATGTAAGGACTGGTGGATTTCAGTAATAATTTTAGGGGCTTGTTCCCATGGAAGGGCAATTTTGTTGTTTAAGAACAGGCATCCCCAAACTTTTTACACAGGGAGCCAGTTCACTGTCCCTCAGACCGTTGGAGGGCCGCCACATACTGTGCTCCTCTCACTGACCACCAATGAAAGAGGTGCCCCTTCCTGAAGTGCGGCGGGGGGGCCGGATAAATGGCTCAGGGGACCGCATGTGGCCCGTGGGCTGTAGTTTAGGGACACCTGTTTAAGAAGATCCAACCCAGATTAGACTCGGTTCTCCCACTTAATATGAGGGCCTGTTTTTCTGATGGCGAGTAAACCAGCGGCGTGACCATGGTGAGGAACAGGACCGGAGTTGGGGCTAGCCTGGTACTGCGCAAGGATTTTGCTGCTGCATCTGCCTTTGCATTGCCCCGGGAAACAGCAACCTGCTGGGCCTGGTGCCCTCGGCGGTGGATGACAGCGACTTCTTTGGGCAGTGATAGGGCCTGCAAGAGATCAGAGATTTGGGTAGCATTAATTATGGGGGACTCTTTCATAGTAAAGAATCCCCGCTCTTTCCAGAGAGCAGAGTGGCAGTGGGTAATAAGAAAAGCATACTTTGAGTCAGTATAGATATTTGCTCGCTTTCCCTGTGCTAACGTGAGAGCTCGGGTTAAGGCAATGAGGTCCACCTTTTGCAATATGGTTCCATCGGGGAGGCGGCGTGCCTCGAGGGTGGCTGAGTCTGTAACTACTGCATGGGCCGCTTTTCACCACCCTCAGCTGTCACTATTGAACTCCCATCTACATAAAAGGTAAGGTCTAGGTTAGGTAGGGGGAGGTCAGACAAGCCCTCTTGAGGTTTAGTGCGTGCCTCTATTAGTTCAGGACAGGAATGGGCTGGGGAGGAGGAATGGGATGGAAGGGGAAGCAGGGTATCCAGGTTGAGTGGAGAAGTGGGATGAAGGCTGACTGTAGGATTTTCAATAAAGAGTAGATGAAACTCCTGTAGGTGAGAGGGTCCTAGGTGAGTGAGAGATTTGTGAGAGAGGAGGTCACTTAGCCGATGGGGAGAAAACGCCTAGATGGGCTGGCCTAAGTTAAGTTTTAGGGATTTCTTGGTGAGTTCTGTTGCCACCCCCAGGGCTTGCAGGCAAGGCTGCCATTCCCTCACTGTGGAGTCGAGTTGTTTCGATAAGTAGGCTACTGGACAATACATGGGGCCCAGGGGTTGGGTTAAGACCCCAACCACAATGCCCTGTTTTGCATCAGTGAACAAATGGAAGGGGTGGCAGAGATCTGGCAGTTGGAGTGGGGGTGCTGTGGATAAGGCAGTTTGTAGGGTTTTAAAAGCCTGTTTTACTACCCCAGAATGGGAGAGGGGTCCTGAGGGTATGTGTTTAGCAGCTGCATACAGAGGTTTAGCTAGGCAGGCAAAATTAGGTATCCAGTGGTGGAAGAATCCTACAAACCCTAAAAAGGAAAGAATTTGGTCAGCTGTCTCTGGAGGCTGTAGAGAAAGGAGTGCCTTTCAGCGATTTGTTGTTAGGCTTTTAGTTGTAGGGGTGAGGCAAATGCCTAAGTAGACTACCGAGGTGACTGATAACTGTGCCTTGGAGGGAGATAGCCGGTACCTTTGAGATCCCAGAAAGTTAAGGAGAGTGGCGGTATGTTGCTGAGACAGGGAGAGGGAGGGGCTACAAAGTAACAGGTCATTCACATACTGAAGAAGGAGACTGGGCTGAAGGGGACAGGAGCTAAGATCAGCTGCCAAGGCTTGTCTGAAAATACAGGGGCCGTCTCTGAATCCCTGGGGCAGGACCGTCCAGGTGAGCTGTTGCGACAGGTTGGTGTCTGGATCAGTCCTGGTGAAGGCAAAGAGAAAGTAAGACTCAGGCTGTAGGAGAATGGTAAAGAAGGCATCCTTGAGGTCAAGAACTAAAATGGGAGGTAGTGGAGGGAATGCTGGATAATAGGGTATATGGGTTGGGGACCGCAGGGTGGACGGGTACCACTGCCTCGTTGATAAGGCGTAGGTCCTGAACTAGGCGGTAGTCACCGGATGGCTTCTGGACTGGCAAGATAGGAGTATTACAGGGGGAACTGGTGGGGATTAGGAGTCCTTGGGCTAGGAGTCGGGTAATGATAGGCTTTAGGCCCTGACGGTGGGTTTTTGAGATGGAAAACAGGATGTGAGGGGAAGTGGGTAGGATTTTTTTTAGAAGTATCTTAACTGGCATATGATGTCTGGCCACTACGGACTTGGAGGTACCCCATACCGAGGGATTGACTACCTCAGGAGGAATAGGGGGTTCAGGCGAAGGGTTAAGACAGGGTGTGGTGTCGGTTCAGAGTGGCAAGAGGAGGTGGGCTGGTGATGGGCTTGAGTGTGGGGTGCCAGTGAGTTGGAGAGTGGCCCCCACAGTTTGGAGAATATCTCATCCTAAAAGGGGGACTGGGCATGAGGGTATGATTAGAAAGGAGTGGGAGAAGGGATGTCCCTCAAGGACACAGGCTAAGGGATGAGTTTGGTTAGAACAGGAAGGCTTTCCATTAATTCCCATGACTGAAACCTGGGAAGGTATGCTAGGTCCTGAGTAGGAAGGCAATACAGAATAGGTAGCCCCCGTAGGCACTAAGAAGGAAATGGACTTACCCGCTACCTGCAGCGTTACCCTGGGCTCGGCGAGGGTGATAGGGGTCCTCGAGTCTGGGCTCCATCAGTCATTCACAAGGCCGAGAAGTTCAAGTGAAGGGACTGCTTCCTGTGGACAGGCTTGCCCCTCACATAGAGGTGTGGGGGGTGAGCCTGTAGTCCGGGATGGGCAGTCAACCTTCCAGTGTCTAGCTTGTTTGCAGCTTGGGCAAGGGCCAGGAGGATGACGAGGACAGGGGCACTGCCGCTCCCAGTGTCCCTCCTGGCCACATTTAAAACAGGGCCCAGGTGGGGCCTTAAAAGAGTTTTGGAAGGGTTTCGATGGGCCCCCTCCACTGGGTGCTCGGTAGGCTGCAGGCCTCAGGGCTGCTACAAGAGCTCAGGTTTGGAGGCTTACTTTCTGCTGCAGCCGGGCCTGACGGGTGGCCTCAGCTTTTTCCTCTCGGCCATTAAAAACTTTAAATGCCAGGTTTACCAGGTCCCACATGGGAGTTTGGGGGCCCTCCTCAGCGTTTTTAAGTTTCCTCCTTATATCAGCCACTGACTGGGAGATGAAGTGGGTGACTAGGACTGTAGCCCCCACTAGGGAGACCGGATCCAGCCAGGTATGGAGGATCATAGTGTTAATTAATCGGTTAAGGAAGGCAGCTGGGTTTTTATCAGGACCCTGAGTTACTTCCCTTAACTTGTCATAATTAACTACCTTCCGAGCTGCGCTTTGCATGCCTGCTAGGAGGCACTGTAGCATTTGGTCTCGGTGGTGGCGGCCATCTTGACCAGTTTGATAATCCCAATTAGGGTCGGCCTCGGGTACCGCTGCCACACCTGCCGGCATTTGTTTGTGATATGTACCTGATCAGCGTGTGTTCGGGCCTCTATGAGAATGCAGTCACGCTTATCTGGAGTAAGGGTAGAGTACAGGATTACGTAGGTGTCATGCCAGGTAAGGTTGTACACCTGGGTGAGGTAACAAAATTCTTTGGTGTAAGCAGCAGGATTGGTGGAGAATGACCCTAGGCGCTTTTCAATGGTCGATAGATCAGAGAGGGAGAAGGGGACATGCACTCGGACAATGCCCTCCTCTCCAGCCACCTCGCAGAGAGGACAGAGGAGAGAGGTTTCATCATTGGAAGCCCAGTGCAAGCAAGTGCGGGCACTAACAGGAGAGGTCAGGTTGGAACTCAGAAGAGGAGGAGCAGGAGGGGTTGGCGAAGGGGCTGGAGGGAGTTGGGGGGAGTTTTTTGCTAGGAGCACCTGGGCAGTATTACAGGAGGAGCAGAGGTCAGGTGGGGAGCAGAGATGCCAAAGAGCCTGAATATAGGGAACTTCCACCCACTTGCCATTCCTTTGGCAAAAGTTATCCAGGTCTATCAGGACATTAAAGTCGAGTGTGCCCTCTGGAGGCCATTGAGACTGGTTGCCCAGAGGGTACTGTGGCCAGGCCACCGTGGAGAAGAAGAAGAGTAGCCTTTTCTTTTTTATAGAAAGACCCAGTTTGGGTAGATTTTTGGCTAGACATCCTAGTGGCGACTTGGGGTCTGGGTGAGATTTCTGATTACCCATATTTCTGCAGTTAACTAGGGGTGAGGTGGGGACACTGGAAGGTGTTATACCCACTGCAGAATATCTGCTATTTCGAGGGAAGCAGGCCAGGACCACTGTATCTCAGCTAGTAGGAGCCTAACGAAGCTAGCGAATTTACAGTAAAGACAGAACCGCATATAGGATTAACGGACAAAGGGTGGCTGCCCCTGAGAGGGAGACCAGTCTGATGTCTTCCCGGCCAGGTCCCCGAACGGATGTTTCAGGGCGTCTTGGCCAAGGTGTACCCGTATAACCCGCGGGCCTGGTCACCTTCAGTTTCCTGAGGCGAATCACCGTTATGCCTTATGACGTCTCCGTGGAACTGCAGGTGGAGGCCACACAAGCCCTGTAGCCGTCAGGCCGTGGGACTACACATAAACTCACTCACTCACTCGCTCGGGATTAGGAAGAGAAACCAAAAGTACAGTTACTCATAGACGGGAGCTTGTATGCCAAAGGGCTAGTTTGAGATAAAAGTTTTAGTGGTAAAAGCCAGGGGTTTGGTCCTGCTGTGGGGCAGGGCCCAAGTTTGCAAACGGGAACTTCCGATTTCCCAAACCTTGGCCGCTGCTGCAGGGATGGTCGGAAGAGCAGCTCAGCATCCTGGGCCGCGCCACCGAACACCAGAGGATACAAGAGGGTTCAGGAAGGTGGGGAGGTCTCCCTCAGAATCCTGACCCTGGGAAACCCCTCGCGGGGAGAAGACAAGAGTGTAGGGACGTCTCCTCTACACTCAGGTCCTCAAGATGAGGCCGGGGCCCTGGGCCCACAGTGAGACGGGAAGGAGTCCCTGATGCAAGTGCGATTATGAGCAGGGAGTCCACGGGGCAAGCAGTGGGAAAGGTCATGGACAATAGCAGTCTTACCTTGCGGCAGAGCAGATCCCTGGTCCGGCTTCAGGTGGAGGAGTCAGTTTCACCCAGGAGGGGTCCTAGAATTCCTCCCGGGCTTTGGTACTGTTTGTAAGGGTTATCACCAAGTCTAAAATGAGGAAACGGAGGCCAGCACAAAAAGATTAAATGCCAATTTATTCAGCTCCCGGGTGAGGTTCTGTGGTCCCAGGGAAAGAGGCCAGGGAAGTCACACCTGACTCTTCTGGGCATGGGGTTTTATAGGGAGTGAAGGTGTTTGATTGGTTGTGGGGAAACAGGGCGTGGTTGGGGCAGGCTGCTATTGGTAGGTAGGCGGGATTTTCCAATGGCAGGCTAGGTGCTGAGTGCAGAAGTGGGCTTGTCTGAGCTCCCAGCAAGGCAACTGGCCTTACACTATTCATGTGAAAATAAACAACAGCTCATGCCTATAATCCCAGCACTTTGGGAGGTCGAGGCGAGAGGATCACCTGAGGTCAGGAGTTTGAGACCAGCCTGGCCAACATAGCAAAACCCCGCCTCTGCTAAAAATACAAAAATGAGCCAGGCATGGTGGTGTGCACCTGTAATCCCAGCTACTCAGGAGGCTGAGGCAGGAGAATCACTTGAACAGAGGTTGCAGTGAACCAAAATCACACCACTGCACGCCAGCCTGAGTGACAGAGTGAGACTCTGTCTTAATTAACTAAGTAAATAAATAAATAAATGGTCTTTACAAATGGAATGAAGTAAAAATAATGTCACATTCAAGGCAGACAGGTGTTCAATCCACTGTGGATTGTTTTATTTTGAGACAGCGTCTCATTCTCTCACCCAGGCTGGAGCACAGTATTGCAATCATAGCTCACTGCAGCCTTGACTCAAGCGATTTTCCTACCTCAGTCTCCTGAGGAGCTGGGACCACACACACGTGCCACCACAGCCAGCTAAGATTCCCATACACACCAGCTAAGATTTCTGTGTTTTAAGCCATTCGGTGCATGGGACTTGGTTGCAGAAGTCCTAGGAAACTAATCCACCTGCCTTGGGAATGAGGCCATTCACAGGCAAGGCTGTCCTGGTTGTCCTAGAGCCCAGGGCCACACTGGGCTTGGTGGGGTGCCACCTGGGTCCAGGCCTAAGGCTGCTGACTGGTCCAGGCATGGAAGAAGCCAGCTCCCCAGTCCCGGGGCTGTGTGCTGGGTGCCTTACCATGTATCTGCAGCTCTGCTGGGAATCCTGCCCACAACAAGGCCTCACTGTTGTACCAGCTCTGGCCAGAGAGCTCCAGGTGCTCGGCACGGTAACAGCAGCTCGCAGAGTAGTTGAGAGATGTGGGTCCCAGCAGGATTCGTCCAGAATGCTCAAAGCCCGAGCTGCCATGGTGAATGTCCATGAGACCTGGAATGCCACCAAGAAGGTGCTGGGCTGCCTCGTGCAGAGAGAAAACCAGACCGGGGCAAGCTGGCACTGGTGCCCAAATGCCCTGGGGTTATCAGAGCCATCCATGTCCCCATGCTGGGAGGAACTCAGACCCTCTTGAAGGAGCAGGTTTGATGACCAACGCAGTTACTCCAGCTAATTACACATGCACCAAGGAACCCACAGAGAAAATACGGAGGACAAATCAGGAGGTGGGGCAGGCAGGGGAGAGGGGGCCTGGGGAGGACGGCTAAAGCAAAACTTTGGGAAGAGGAAGATGTCCTGGCTGATGCAAAACAGGTTGGCAAACTACAGCCTATACCTTTTGTTGTCAGGTTTTATTGTAACACAACCCTGCCTGTTTGTCACAGGTGTGTGAACCAGAGCAACTTAATCTTGAATAGGGGCTGGGTACAATGACGCTGAGACCTACTGGGCTGCACTCCCAGATGGTTAGGCATTCTAAGTCACAGGATGACACAGGAGGTCACACAAGATACAGCTCATGGCCAGGCACAGTGGCTCACACCTGTAATGCCAACACTTTGGGAGGCTGAGGTGGGCAGATCGCTTGAGGTTAGGAGTTCGAGACCAGCCCAGCCAACATGGTGAAACTCCGACTCTACTAAAAATACAAAAATTAGCTGCATGTGGTGGCTCATGCCTGTAATCCCAGCTACGCAGGAGGCTGAGGCAGGAGAATCACTTGAACCTAGGAGGCGGAGGTTGCAGTGTGCCGAGATTGCACCACTGCACTCCAGCCTGGATAACAGAACAAACTCCATTGCAAAAATCAACAACAAAAATAGTGAAGATACAGGTCATAAAGACCTTGCTGATAAAACAGATTACAGTAAAGAAGCCGGCCAAAACCTATAGATGGCTATGTGAGTGACCTCTGGTCATCCTCACGGCTACACTCCCACCAGTGCTATGAGAGTTTACAAATATCAAGGCAACATCAGGAAGTTACCCTAGATGGTCTAAAAAGGGGAGGCACGAATAATCCACCCCTTGTTTAGCATGTCATCAAGAAATAACCATAAAAATGGGCCCCAGCAGCCCTGAACTCTTTCTTGCACAAGATCCAAGAACTCTCTCTTGGGTCTAGATCAAGATCCCTTTCCTGCAACACGTTCATGTCCTATTCCTGTGGCTGCTTTCCCGACACCACAGCAGCAGAATGGAGCAGCTGCAGCAGAGACTGCGGAGCCACACCTCCCGTGCCACCCCACAACCATCTCAGTAAAACCTTCAGTGAGGCTGGGTGCAGTGGCTTATGCCTGTGATCCCAGCAGTTTGGGAGGCGAGGCAGGCAGCTCACCTGAGGTCAGGAGTTAGAGAGCAGCCTGGCCAGCATGGCAAAACCCCGTCTCTACTAAAAATAAAAAAATTAACCAGGCATGGTGGTGGCAGGTGTCTATTATCCCAGCTACTCAAGAGGCTGAGGCAGGAGACTTGTTTGAACCCAGCAGGACAGAGGCTGCAGTGAGCCAAGATCATGCTACTGCACTTTGGGCAAAAGCACAAAACTTCATCTCAAAAAAAAATCCAAACAAAAAAAACCCTTCAGTGAAATCTACACCACCTCTTCCACCATTATTGAAGGAACTACCCAGGCAGGAAGGAGCAGGGTTGAGAGGCGGGGAAAGGGCATCTCGGGTCCCTGCGACCCAGAGAATGAGCCATGGCCCATCTATGACTGCCTCTCCTGGACTCCTATGAGAAACGCAGGGTCTCAGCGCCCCCCACCAGACCAGAATCAAACCTGCATTTTAAAACCATCCCAGATTGATGCCTGTGTGCTGGGTGTGCAGGGACCCTGCTCTACGCAGAAGGCGGCCACCTATGCTCTGGGATACCACAGGAAGTTCAGGTCTGCTGGGCTCTGACCATGAGCCACCCACCTTCTGGGATGACAGCACAGGGCCTGGGGCTGGAATTGTCCTGAGTCTCAGGGGCTCTGTACTGCTGGCCAGCTCTGCCAAACTCTCCCCATCCACACTGGGCCACACCCAGGCCTGCCTGCTTGGCCTCTGCTGGTATCAACGCTGACCCTGATGGCGCCAAGGTCATACGGGCCCCAGGTACACAGGCTCGGCAGAGCCGGAGACTCGCCGTGACAGCAACAAAGCCAGGGCTGAGCTCTTTGTTATCCGCCAAGCGCTTCTCTGAAACTCAGCCCCAGTGGGCAGAGCTGGGGAAACTGAGGCCTGAGCCCTTGTCACCACATAGCTGGCTCCCTACACTTTCCCCTAGGACTGGGAGTTCCCAGGGTCCAGTCAACCCTAGACCAGGGCTTGCAAACCGGTGGTTTTGTGTGGTCTCTCTGGTATTTTTTGTCTTGTGTTTTTTTAACAGATCCTTGCTCTGTTGCCCAGGCTGGAGTACAGTGGCACAATCTCAGCTCACTGCAACCTCTGCCTCCCAAATTCAAGCGAATCTCCTGCCTCAGCCTCCAGAGTAGCTGAAACTAAAGGCACCCACCACCTTGCCCAGCTAATTTTCTGTATTTTTAGTAGAGACAGGGTTTTGCCATGTTGGGCAGGCTGGTCTCAAACTCCTGACCTTAAGTGATCTGCCTGCCTCAATCTCCTAGAGTGTTGGGATATACGACATCTTATATAAGTCTGTTTAGATGAAATTTCTAGAACAGACAAATGCATAGGGACAGAAGGCAGATTCGTGGTAGTTGGGGACCAGAGAAGAGAGGATGGGAGGGTTTGCTGATGAGTTTGAGGTTTCCACTGGGGTGAGGAAAGTTCTGGAACTTGCAAGCACTGATGATTGTAAAACAGCATGAATGCACATAGCGTCCCCGAGTTGTATACTTTTAAACGGTTTTACATTACCATTTGCATTTTACTACAAGAAATGTGAAAAGATACATACAATGCGGAGGCTTTGAGACCTGGCACATGCTCTGTAGTTCCCCCACAGCCCAGGGACACATTTCAGTTCTCCACCTGACCCCAAAATCTTCAAGTTTGCAACCCCTGCACCCCACACACACAGGGTGGTCACTGAAACAGCGGAAGCAGGCCGGGCATAGTGGCTCATGCCTGTAATCCCAGCACTTTGGGAGGCTGAGGTGGTCAGATCACTTGAGGTCAGGAGTTGGAGACCAGCCTGCCTAAGATAGTGAAACCTCGTCTCTACTAAAAATACAACAAGTAGCCAGGAGTGGTGGCGGGTGCCTTAATCCCAGCTACCTGGGAGGCTGAGGCAGGAGAATTGCTTGAACTTGAGAGGTGGAGATTACAGTGAGCTGAGGTCACACCACTGCACTCCAGCCTAGGCAACTAAGCAAGTCTCTGTCTCAATGAATGAATGAATGAATGAAAAGAAACGGCAGCAACAGCAGGAGCAGCTGCAATCATGCAGCAGGTGGCAAGGCCCCTCACAGTTTTACGTCACCTGTTTTATGAGGCAGGAACTGCTACTCCATGAGTCAACAATGTGGACTGAGCACCTACTACGTGCCAGGCCCCGTCTTAAACCTGGGGATACTACCAGGCACAAAATAGAAATGGCCAAGTCCCTGCCACTTAGATGGCAGTGCTGGGAGGCAGACAGGACAAGGGGAAAGGCATTGCACTTCCTGCCAGCACCCTCAGCAGCTCTCAGCATGAAGCCATCTGAGCTGAGCCACGCCCCAGCCCTGAGCTCCACTGTCCACTTGTCTCATGAAGCCAGGACAGGCCCACCACCAGCCCAGCTGCCCATGACAGAGTTGGGCTTGTAAACCTCGGGTCCTGGGTGACGTCTACCTGTGCTTGCAGATGGGACCACTTAATGACTGTCAGGTTGAACTGCCACCCCTGGGAGCTGGGAGTCCAGATGCATGTCACCGGGTATGTGGGCATCTTGAAGGACGGGGACCATGTGAGTTTCTCCTGACAGCGACCTCAGCCCCAGGCCATATCACAGGCAGCTGCTGTGATCAGGCTGTGTCAGCCTCCCTGGAGAGGCCCACTGTGTACCACAACCATCTTGCCCAGAACAGAGACCCCGTACCTTGAGAGGCTGCCCAGTGATGTCCCCTCGGCAGAATCCTAACAGCTGGGTGGACGAGGCATCTCCGCTGCAGTTGACCTATGGAGACTAGTGTATGGGAAGGGACTGGCTTCTTCCCCTGACTCCAGAGTGAACTGTCAATGGGTGCCAAGATCCCACTTGACCCCACTGCCCTTTGGGGAAGACACTGTGGGCAAATAACCCCAAGGAGAGGTTTGCACAGAGACTTGAGGGCAGAGCCACAGCATCACCATCATCAAATGAAGGTAATCAGAGCTCCCACCACGCAGGGCCTCCGCGCCAGGCCCGGTGCCAACTGGTTCATCATCTGAACCTCAGAGGAACCATAGGAGGAGGTAGCACATGAGGAAACTGAGTCACACAAGTCAAGGAAAAGAAAGCATCTTGCCTGTGGTCACACAGTCAGCGATGGTGCAGCCTGGCTTCAGGCCAGGAGTCCTGGTCACTCACGTTCCCTCCCCCACCATGTACGGTTTAGCCACCCTCGGGGACAGGCACCAAGGTGGCTTCCTGCTTTCCATTTCTGAGAATAATGAGGAAGACAGCTGTGAGCGCGAGGCTTCTCCAGGGGAGGGGCCCCAAGGAGGACCGGAGGGGCCAGGGGCTCCACCGTCTTCATTCTACAAGGCAGGGCCAGAGAACGCGCAGAGAGGCCACTGCCCCAGCTAGGCTGCCAGGTGTAGGGAAGGAGGGAGGATGGGAATGCAGACAGGAAGGACAAATGCACAGAGCAGAAGTGGGGGAGAGACCGAGAAAGGAGGAGGAGAGGGAGGAAGAGAGGGTGACGGAGACTGTAAGGGAGAGAGTGAGGGAGAGGGTAAGGGGAGAGGAGGGAGACAGGGGAGGAGGAGACTGGGAGGGCTGGGAAGGCGGGGTGGGGGGAGGGGGGAGGATGGGAGGAAAGAAAGGTGGGTAGATAGGGAGACAGGTGGCAGGAGAGCAGGTGAATATGGTGGGGGGAGGATGGGAGGCAGGTGTGGGGAAGGCAGGTGAGGGGGAGGCAGGTGAGGGGGAGGCAGGTGGGGGGATGGTGGAGGGGTGGGGAAGGCAGGTGTTAGGGGAGGCAGGTATGGGGGAGGCAGGAAGGGGGTTACTAAGAAAAGCAGGGACAGGAGGCAGGCCCTGGTAGACCCCGCTTGGGCCCCCGGAGCCCAGCAGTGTGGGCTGCAGTCTGGGCCATGTGGGCACTGAGCCACTTGCCTCGAGCTGGGAGGGCAGTGTGCCCGGTAGCCCTGAGAGGCCGTGGTGCAGCCCCAGCACCAGCCCCTGGCGGCCGCCCTCTGCCTTCCTCTCCAGGACTGCCTGGAGCTGCTCGCCATCCAAGTTAACCGTCAGCCAGGCCGCCAGATTGCGTCCCATGCTCTGGGCAGAAGCAAAGCTGTGGGGTGTCCCTGGGACCCACTGTCCCCTGTGTGGCCCAGGCACAGCCCCCTCCTCACCTGGAAGTCCCTGTGCCATCTATGGAGAAGGGCAGGCCCCAGTGCTTGAGGCTGGGCATGGTGTGGGTATAAGAGGCTGGCATGGAGCTGGCGGCTCAGGGACTCAGGGGTCAGGCCCTCCAGGCTAAGGGCAGCATCTAGCTGACCCCTCGCGTTCCCAAGGGACAGGCGTGCTGAGCAGTTGGAAGCCACGTGGGTGAGAAAAAGGAGTGTCCCGGCCTTAGAGGGGAGTTCTGGGGAAAGAGGCCAGCGGGCAGGGGTAGGCAAAGCCCCAGAGACCACTCAGCCCGCTCCACCCCATTGAGTCAGGTGGGAACATAACAGGGGACTGGCCAGCCCACCTGCTCTCCGGAGGGTCCCCTGAGCCCCCCAGCTCCAGGTCTCACTGCCCACAATACACCAGGTTAAACCATACGAAACTGTCCACGTTTCACAGAGGTGGAGATTTCATCTAGTCCAAACTCACAGCACAATCACCACAGGTAGCAAGCGGTAGAACCCATGTCCCCTCAGGATTTCCAGCTCCCGAGGACAGGGCCCAAATCTCAGAGGGAAACGGGGGGTCTGGTGCTGTGTCCTCCCCTGCTGCACCAGGCCCCTCCAGGCCTGAAGGGAACATCTCTGAGAAGCCCAAGCAGGGGCTGGTGGGCGTCCTTGGGGTACTGACTAGACCCGGCATCCGCACTGCAGGGAACGGGTTGGGGTGGGGAGGCCAGATTGGGGGAGGCAGGCAGGGGGAGGCAGGTGAGAGGAGGCATGTGGAGGGGGAGGCAGATGGAGAGGGAGGGGGGAGAGGGGAGAGGGAGGGAAGAGAGGCAGGGAGGAAGAGAAGGGTAGAGGAAGGGAGAAGGGGGAGCAGAGGGAAGGAAGGAGGAGGGGAGGGAGGAGGGAGGAGAGGGGAGATGAGGGAGGGAGGAGGGGGGAGGGGAGGGAGAGGGGTAGAATAAGGGAGAGGAGGGGGGAGAGTGAGAGGTGTTGGGGGGAGAGGAAGGGACGGAGAGACGAGGGGCTTGGTGGCAGCTGCCATCACCATCTCCTTTGAAGCATGTCAATACCGTTAACACTTGGTGTCCTGAACCTGCATGTTCTGGCTGAATCACAACCCAGGGAAGAAGTTGCAGGTAGGCAGGGGAAGCCAGCAGGGAAAAGAAACAGCTGGAATGTGAATTAGGGGGCTGGAGTCTCATTTATCCCCCTCTCCCTTGGCCCCAGACGTAGGAGTCTTGGAGGAAGCAGCTGTTCTGCCTGGACCGCTCATCCTACCTGCATCACTCAGTGTGCTGATATTGTCAGGCCACCTGCAAGCTGGCTGTGCCCAGGGCCCCAGCAGCACAGAGTCAGGCTGCCCGCGTGGGCCCGGATGCTGGCCTGGGCCCTCAGGTTCCCCCTCTGGGCCTGCAGCCGGCCCTTCAGCTGGAGCTCTGCGGGCAAGGCCTGGCTGCTGTTCTGGGCGAGGACACAGCTCACACTGCGCACACTGGTGCCGTTCCCTGCCTTCTCATGCTTGTCCCGCAGGAGGAAACCCAGCACAGCTGAGTCAGTGGTGGCTCTGAGGATGCCTGCAGAGGATGGGAGAGAACAGAGCAGGGGGTGGCTCAGGGAACCAAGCTGCTTTGGAGAGGAGGGAAAAGAATTTCGGGGTAGGAAGATGCTAGATTCATGATGTCACACTTTAACTCATGTCAGAAATGTCACATTTGTAGGCTGGGCGCGGTGGCTCATACCTGTAATCCCAGCACTTTGGGAGGCCAAGGTGGGTGGAACATGAGGTAAAGAAAACGAGACCATCCTGGCCAACATGGTGAAACCTCGCCTCTACTAAAATACAAAAATCAGCTGGGCGTGGTGGCACACACCTGTAGTCCCAGCTACTTGGGAGGCTGAGGCAGGAGAATCGCTTGAACCCAGGAGGCAGAGGTTGCAATGAGCTGATATTGTGCTCCTGCACTCCAGCCTGGGTGAGACAGCGATACTCCCTCTCAAAAAAAAAAAAAAGAAAGAAATGGCACATTTGTGAAATCCATCAAATTATAGCAGCTCCCGCACAGGATACTATGAAAATCAAGCAAGCTAAATTGCAAAATAATACAGAAAATCTGAATAGCTCTATATTTATATATACTCCAAAAAAATTCCACAACCTCCAGATGTCTTCACTGGTAGAGCGTCACCAGTCTGGTGGCGATCTTAGGGAACATCACCACCAATCTCATACAAACTCTTTCAGAAAAGAAAAAAGAACAGATTCATCAACTTGGTTTATGAAATCAGCATAAACCTCATACCAAATCTGACAGGAGCTTTGCAAAAAAGGAAAATTACAACCCAACAGTGCTGTGAACCCAGATATCAATTTTTTTTTTTTTTTTTTTTTTTTTTTTGAGATGGAGTCCTGCTCTGTTGCCAGACTGGAGTAGTGGTGCAATCTCAGCTCACTGCAACCTCTGCCTCCTGGGTTCAAGTGATTCTCCTGCCTCAGCCTCCAGAGTAGCTGGGACTATAGGCACCCACCACCACACCCAGCTAATTTTTGTATTTCTAGTAGAGATGAAGTTTCCCCATGTTGGCCAAGATGGTCTCAATCTCCTGACCTCACGATCCACCTGTCTCGGCCTCCCAAAGTGCTGGGATTACAGGTGTGAGCTACCGCATCCGGCCCATAGATACCAACTTTCTAAACAAAGTATTAGGAAACCAAATTCAATTACATGTAGAAAGAAAAATACTTAGGAAAAAATGGAGGGAATCCCTCTAAAGCAAGGTTGGTTTCACACTGAAGACCAATTTAATTCACTCTATTAACAAAATGAAAGTGGAAAACCATATGAATGTGTACTAGATTCAGAAAAGGCATTTGACTACATCCAACACCCATTCTTAAGAATTAATAAAAACTGGCCAGGCATGGTGGCTCATGCTTATAATCCCAGCACTTTGCAGGGCTAAGGCAGGCAGATCACTTGAGGCCAGAAGTTTGAGACCAGCCTGGCCAACATGGTGAAACTCTGTCTCTCGTACCACTACAAAAATTAGCCAAGTGTGGTGGCATGTGCCTGTAATGCCAGCTACTCGGGAGGCTAAAGCAGGAGGAGAATCACTTGAATCCAGGAGGTGGAGGCTGCAGGTTACAGTGAGCTCAGATTGCACCACTGCACTTCAGCCTGGGAGACAGAGCAGGACTGTCTCTAAAAAACAAACAAAAACTCTGCAATCTGGCCGGGCACGGTGGCTCAAGCCTGTAATCCCAGCACTTTGGGAGGCCGAGGCGGGTGGATCACGAGGTCAAGAGTTCGAGACCGTCCTGGCCAACATGGTGAAACCCCGTCTCTACTAAAAATACTAAAAATTAGCTGGGCATGGTTGTGTGTGTCTGTAATCCCAGCTACTCAGGAGGCTGAGGCAGGAGAATTGCCTGAACCCAGGAGGCGGAGGTTGCAGTGAGCCAAGAACGTGCCATTGCACTCCAGCCTGGGCAACAAGAGCACAACTCCGTCTCAAAAAAAAAAAAAAACTGCAATCTGATAAAGAACATCTATGCAAAACCAATAGCAAACATTAAAATTATTTGTGGAAATTTTGAACATTTTCCTTGTAAGACTAAGAACAAGGTGAGAATTTTTGTTCTTAGCATTTTTATTCATATTATACTGTAGTTCTTATTCACTGCAATAAGAAAAAAACAAAACTTCAGTGACACAAAAATATCAGACCAGGCATGGGGACTCATGCCTATAATCCCAGCACTTTAGGAGGTTGAGGTAAGAGGATTGTTTAAACTTGGGCATTCTAGACCAGCCTGGGCAACAAACGGAAACCATGCCTCTAAAAAAAAAAAATTATCTGGGCATGGTGGCATGCATCTGTAGTCCCAGCTACTTGGGAGACTGAGGCAGGAGGATTGCTTGAGCCCAGGAGTTTGAGGCTACAGTGAGCCATGATCATGCCACCACATCTCAATCTGGGTGACGAAAGGAGGCCCCATCTCAAAAAAAAAAAAAAAAAAAAAAAAGGTATAAAAATCAAAATGGAAGAAAACATTCTATTCCAGAATGCATAAAAAGTAGCTACGACTTAATAAAAGACAGCTTTTAAAATGGGAAAAAAAAATTGACCTGTCTCAAAAGAAGCCACATGAATAAATAACATACATGAAAATGTGATCAACATCATTCATCAACAAAAAAATGCAAATTAAAGCCACAAAGAGAGACCACTAGACATTTAAATGGTTATTTCTTTGAGACAGGGTCTCACTCTGTTGGCCAGGCTGGAATGCAGTGACGCAATCATGGCTTGCTGCAACCTCAACCTTCCAGGCTCAAGTGATTCTCCCACCCCAGTCTCCATGTAGCTGGGACTACAGGAATGTACCACCATATCCCGCTAATTTCCAAAATTTTTGTAGGACAGAGTCTGCTTATGTTGCCCAGGTTGATCTCAAACTCCTAGCCTCAAGCAATCCACCCTCCTCAGCCTCCCCAAGTGCTGGGATTACAGGTTTGAGCTACTGCTCCCAGCCGAGATTTGCACATTTCATTGCATGTAAATTTACATGACCAGAAGAAAGAAGTAAGGGAGGGAGACTAAGAGAGGAGGAGAACTGTAAGCAAATACTGAACTTTAGTTCATGTGCGCGCTAATCCATTTAGGGGTAAGGTGTTCTGATGTCTACAACTCACTCTGAAAAGCATCAGTAAGAACACAGATGGATGTTTTACAGGACAGGGGTCTGGATGCAGACACCAAGAGAGGCTTCCTGGATCTCGTGCAAGAAAGAATTCAGGGTGGGTCCGTGCTGCAAAGCAAAAGCAAGTTTATTAAGAAAGGAATAATGGCTACTCAAGACACAGCAGCCCCCAGGGCTGCTAGTTGCCTATTTTTATGGCTATTTCTTGATTATATACACTAAACAAGGGTGGGTTATTCATGACCCCCGCTTTGTGTTTTTTATTTATTTTATTTGAGATTGTTTCACTCTTGTTGCTGTTATATGTAAATTTTTGGTGCCACAAAAGTAGCAGCACTGGAACATAAATTTCCTCAGCAAGGCCATTTACCTTTTTTTTCTTCTTGAGACAGAGCCTCACTCCGTTGCCCACGCTGGAGTGCAATGGTGTGGTCTCAGCTCACTGCAATCTCTGCCTCCTGGGTTCAAGTGATTCTCCAGCCTCAGCTTCCTAAGTAGCTGGGATTACAGGTGTCCACAACCATGCCCAGCTAATTTTTGTATTTTTAGGAGAAGACAGGGTTTCACCGTGTTGGCCAAGATGATCTCAAATTCCTGACCTCATGATCCAGCCACCTCGGCTTCCCAAAGTGCTGGAATTACAGGCGTGAGCTACCACACCTGGTCAAGGCAATTTACTTCTATAGAAGGGTGCAGCTTACAGATGGAACATTGGCAAGCACATAGCTGGACAAGGGAGAGAAAGGGGTTCTTATTCCTGACACAGGTAGCCCCTACTGCTGTTTCGTTCTCCTATTCACTAGGGTTAGACTGCACAGTCTAAGCTAATTCCAACTGGCTATTTTAAAGAGAGCAGGGGTATGAGCCGGAGTGGTGGGGTGGGAAGTTTGGCAGGAAGGACAGTTATGGAACAGTTCAGAGCAGGTGACCAGGGGTGACTCAGGTCAAAGCAGTGACCAGAACAGGAGACCAGAGCAGGTGACTGGGATGAGTCAGGATGGAGCAGAGGATGGGGAACAGATGTGGACTACTGATTAGAACTGGTGGAAAAGGTTGTTTACTGAAACTACAAGGAAGTTAAACTTTAAAATGGAGAATTAACGAATAAGAGAGCTGAACATACTCACACACTGATTCTTTGAAGAGAAACTTGGAGTTCACTGTATCTAACACTGCCCAGGCTGGAGTGCAGTGGCGTGATCTTGGCTCACTGCAACCTCTGCCTCCCAGGTTTAAGCAAGTCTCCTGCCTCAGCTTCCTGAGTATTCAGGATTACAGGCATGCACAACCACGTCCAGCTAATTTTTTGTATTTTTAGTAGAGACAGGGTTTCTCCATATTGGCCAGGCTGGTCTTGAACTCCTGACCTCAGGTAATACAACTGCCTCAACCTCCCAAAGTGCTGATATCACAGGCGTGAGCCACTGTACCTGGCCCATGCCTCCCCTTTTTTAGACTATATAGGGTAACTTCCTGATGTTGCCATGGCATCTGTAAACTGTCATGGTGCTGATGGGAGAGTAGTAATGAGGAAGACCAGAGGACACTCTAGTCACCATCTTGGTTTTTGGTGGGATTTAGCCGGCTTCTTTACTGCAACCTGTTTTATCAGCAAGGTCTTTATGACCTGTATCTTGTGCCAACCTCCTATCTCATCCTGGGATTTAGAATGCCTTAACTTCTGGGAATGCATGTTAGATGTAGTGAACTCCAAGTTTCTCTTTAAAGAATCGGTATGTCAGTATGTTCAGCTCTCTTGTTCTTTAATTCTCCAGTTTAAAGTTTAACTTCCTGGTTCTCTTCACCCCCTTGCCTCTAGTTTCAGTAAACAACTTTCCCACCAGTTCTAATCAGTAGTTCACATCTGTTCCCCTGGTCACCTGCTCTAACCAGTCCGGTAACCATCCTTCCTACCAAACTGCCCACTCCACCACTCCAGCTGGTACCCCTGCTCTCTTTAAAATAGCCAATCAGAATTAGCTTAGACTCTGCTGTCTAATCCTAGCCAATAGGAGAATGATATAGCAGTAGGGGCAACCTCCGTCATGATTAAGAACCCCTTCCCCTCCCTTGTCCACATGTGTGCACTCACTATTGCTCCATCTGTGAGCCGAATCTTCTATAGAAGTAAATTGCCTTGCTGAGAAAATTTATATTTGAGTGCTAATTCTTTTATGGCACTGAAAATTCATACATAACATGCAGCCCAGTAGTTCTCAGCTTCTTTTTACCCAGCTCCCATTCAAGATGGGGTTGCTCTGGTTTACACACCTCTGATGGGTGGATAGTGCATAGGGGATAAATAAAATAAAGCAAAATACAAACAATTATAATAGTTAGGTGGGGGGGGGGCACATGGGTGTTTGCCATACAATTTGACTTTTCTCTATGCTGAGGCAGAGTGGGAGGGAGAGGAGCCATCTTGCAGGTACTCCCAGGGGGTAAATCTAGGAAAATTGGGCACTGAAACAAATCATGATCATCATGGATTACAGAATAAAACAGGAATCTATCAGTCCATACTGAGGTTAAGAGAGGAAGGAAAGGGGGAAGGTGATACGGTTTGGACCTGTGTCCCCAACAACTCCATTTGAATTGTAATCCCCAGTGTGGGAGGTGGGGCCTGGTGGGAGGTGGCTGGATCACTGGGAGTGGATTTCTCAGAAACAGTTTAGCAGCATCCCCTCAGTACTGTCCTTGTGACAGTGAGATCTGGTTGTTTAAATGCATGTAACAGCACACCCCTTTCTCTTAATCCTGCTCTGGCCTGTGACGTGCTGACAGCCCACCCACATCAAGAAGCAGATGCGCCATGCTTCCAGTACAGCCTGAAGAACTCTGAGCCAATGTCTTTATAAATGATCCAGTCTCAGGTATGTTATAGCATTGCAAGTACAGACTAAGACAGAAGGGAAGGAAGGGCAGAGGGAGTGAGCAAGGAAAGCATTCTACCCTGAGCAATACATTATTATTTTTTTTTTGAGACACTCACTCTATCTCCCAGTCTGAAGTGCAGTGGTGCGATCTTGGCTCACTGCAACCTCCACCTCCCATGTTCGAGCGATTCTCATGCCTCAGCCCCCTGAGTAGCTGGGACTACAGGCATGTACCACCACGCCTGGCAAATTTTTATATTTTCAGTAGCAACAGGGTTTCACCATGTTGGCCAGGCTGGTCCTTAACTCCTGGCCTCAAGTGATCCTCCTGCCTCAGCCTCCTGAAGTGCTGAGATTATAGACATGAGCCACCACACCTGGCCTCCAAGCAATAATTTTTTTTTTTAATTAGAAAAATCCCCATTTAGCAATCATCATAGCAGTAACAGACTCAGACCAGCATCATCAGTGGATGCTAAACCTAGGAGGTTCACAATTCGATGAGAGCACAGAATACTTACATGACTTCCAAGTATCTCACCACAATTACTTATTAATTACAAAGGAAACAACTAAGAGCTTTACAGCCAAGAAACCTGGCAGACCCTACCTTAATCAAGAGATCAAAGCTAATGTCACCAATGCTGTACAAGTGGACAGCAGGTACCACCTGACAGGAGGCTGCCTCACTTCTGTGGTGTCCTACCAATAGGCTTCCTTGAACGCAGGCATCAGGAAGCGTCACTTAAACCCAGATGGAGGCTGTTTCACAACATGACTGCCCCGTACCCTGCAAAATGTAAATATCCGCCAGGCGTGGTGGCTCACATCTGTAATCCCAGCACTCTGGGAGCTGAGGCAAATGGATCACTTCAGGCTAGCAGTTTGAGACCAGCCGGGTCAACATGGTAAAACACCATTCTCTATTAAAAATACAAAAAAAAAGTAGCCAGGTGTGATGCTGTGTTCCTGTAATCCCAGCTCCTTGGGAAGCTGAGACAGCAGAATCACTTGAACCTGAGAGGCGGAGGTTGCCATGACCTTAGATCGCTCCATACCACTCCAGCCTGGTGGATAAGAGCAAACTCTCTCATAAAACAAAAAAAAGAAAGAATTATCATGCCTGCAACCTAGGAAAATACAAGTCAGGAATAAAACAATAAATAGAGTATACATACATGTACATATAGAGAGAATATGAATATGAGAACGATAAATGAAATGTAAAATGTTAGCAACTGATTAATCTGGGCAAAGGACCTGTGGGATTCTTTGTACTATTCTTGCAATTTTTCTACAAGTCTAGTGTTACACCAAAATAAAAAGTTTTCTAAAAAAAAAATGCCTGGAAACCCTGCACCCAACTCTCCCTCCTGGAGATACACAATGTCCATTAGCATGTTAAAGGCTCTGACAAGTCCTGCATAAGGAATCCTATTCAGTTTTTAGTTAGCAGATTTTCTTTGTCAGAATGCATATTCATTTCTCACAAAGAAGAATCATCTATACCCCTTTATCTAAAACTATGTATATGCCAGTGTGAGATGCTGGAATTGGAGCATCAGCGGACTTGGGTGGACTGAATCTACTCTGTAGTTCCACAGAAAGTGCTTGCCTCTGCCCCATGGCATTCCCCAGGCCCTCACCCTCTCAGAGTGTCTCCTCCTGCTTCAGCCTTCCTGTGAGTGTCAGGAGGTGGGGCATCGCTGCCCAGCCAGCCACCATGTGCCAGGTTTGGCTCTGTAAGGTCAGGACCTGGCCTCCCCTCCTTTCCTCAGATGTCTTGAGGAGCAGCTGTGCCGTGTTCTGGTCCAGTAGTGCCTTGGAAAACAGCCAAATCCTAGGCAGCGAAGTAAGGGGGTTAAGATCAGGCTTTGTAGTCAGGCAAACCTGGGTTCCAAATAACAGGATAATCTGGGACAAGGATATCACCTCTCTGAGCATCAGCTGCTTCTTCTGTAGAGTGGGGAATAAAGTGGACATACTGATACTGAGCGTTTTTTGGAGGGTGGGGAAAATTCTCGCCCAGGCTGGAGTGCAGTGGCACCATCTCGGCTCACTGCAACTTCCACCTCCGAGGCTCAAGGGATTCTCCTGTCTCAGCCTTCCGAGTAGCTGGGATTACAGGCCCCTGCCACCACACCTGGCTAATTTTTGTGTTTTTAGTAGGGTTTCAGCATATTGGCCAGGCTTGTCTTGAATTCCTGACCTGAGGAGACGGGTGTCCTTACCCGCGGGAAGTGGGCGAGACTTCCCTCCCGGGCCGCATGCGGGGAGAGGCTGCCCCCTCCCCTTTTCCTGCCCAGTCGCGGGGCCCAAGTCTTCCTTCTTCGTCCGAAAGGAGGGGAGGGGGGACTCGCTGCTACAAGCCTCGCCCCCTGTGCCACTCAGCCCCGCCCCGCCGCGTCCGGTCGCCGGTCCCCCGGGTCATCTGCGGGCGGGGTCCCCTCTCCCTCCCCCATGTCTCGTGTCCCCGGGGCCTCAGTCTCCCAAAGTGCTGGGACTACAGGAATGAGCCACTGTGCCTGGCCTGGAACTGAAATTGATATTGACACTAACAGGTACTCACCCAGGTGTGACAGAGTGTGTTTCCACCTATGGCCACCTCTTCCCACACACACTCCTGCAGTGTGACTTTGCCACTCCTACATTAAGATGTAAGATCTATTTCCTCTCCCTTTGAATCGGGACTAGCCTTGCGACCTGTGTTTTGGTCAATAGAATGTGGCAGAAGTGACACTGTAGAACTTTCAACGTTGGGCCCTAAGATCTACAAATTTCACCTTCCACAGGAACGCCTCCTCTTGGAACCCAGACACCTGGTAGGAAGTCTGGCCAACCTGAGACTACCATCATGTGAGGAAGCCCAAGCAGCCACTTGAAAAGAGAGAAGGGGGTTACACATGGAAAAGCACCAAGGTGCCAGATACGGGAAGGAAGCTCCCACTCTGTCCACAGCCCATGCACACATCTGGCTGGTAACTGACTCAGCTGAAGGCTAATGTCAGTGAAGAGTCCCAGAGAATGACCCCTGCTGATGCCACATAGAGCAGAACCGCTTAAGCCTTGTGGAAATTTCTGGCTCACAAAATGGTGGCACACAAAATGGTTGTTCTTTCATCTCTAGCCTTTGGGGTAGCTCACTGTGCAGCAATATCTAACCAGCACACTTCTGCCATGCACTGTGCACTTTAGACGCACTGACTCCTTACAAAAGCCCTGTGAGTTTTGAGAATATTATGATCCCCAATATACAGATGAGGAAACAGGTAGACAGACAGTAACATGCCCAAAGCTCAAATAAGCAGTTAGCAGTGCCTAACACACAGGGCTGTTTAGAATTAAATGAACTGGCATACAAGATGCCTACTCCTGGGTCATAACGAGTGATTGATATATGTGAGAAAAGGAACAGACTCATGAAGATTGATGTTAAACTGGCTGGAAAATTGGGGCAGGGGACACAGTTCCTGTCATCACACAGTGAATTCCTTTTGTGACACCATGAGAGAGATTTCCCGTGAGCTTCACCACTAGGAACAAGATGAGCCGTGCGTTTTTTGGTACACAGCTATGGAGTGTGTGTGTGCACTTCCTGAGGGCCACTGCAAGTACTACTACTTGTTGGTTTCTCTCTTTGCATTGGCTGCTAGGAAATTCAGAGCCAAATCTTCAGCTGAGCTCTAAAAACCAAAGAGGAACTCATGGCATCCATTTTGTTTGCTGATATTACTTTGAGTATCTTCCCAATTTTTCTATTTTTCTTTTCCCTTCCTCTGGCTTCCTCATGTTATCTTTTTAAAATCTAGAACAAGGGCTGGCAAACTACAGCTTGTGGACCAAAACTGGCCCACCACTTGTTTTTATAAATAAAGTTTTATTGGAACACAGTCATGCACATTATTTATGAATTGTCTATGACACTCTTGTGCCGCAACAGCAGGGTTGCATAGTTGCAACGGAGACCATATGGTCCACAAAGCTGAAAATATTTGCCATCTGACCTTTTACTGAAAGTCAGCCAACTCCTGACCTAGAACAAGGTACACTTTAATAATCTGCCTCAAATCCTTTTCAGACTGGGGATAAGGATGGGCAGTTGGACAGGTAAGTGGACAAACAGCTGTGGTGGCAATTCTGAGAACAAAGTTATCTAAGACCATGTCCACAGCCCAGGGGCTCCTTAAATCCATGCCAAAGCTGGAATAAACCTGGGATTGCAAAGGACTTTTTTTTTTTTTTTTTTTTTGAGACAGAGTTTTGCTCTTTTTGCCCAGGCTTAAATGCAAAGACACAATCTTGGCTCAGTGCAACCTCTGTCTCCTGAGCAGCAGGGATTACAGGCCTGCACCATCACACTTGACTAATTTTGTATTTTTAGTAGAGACGGGGTTTCTCCATGTTGATCTGGAACTCCTGACCTCTCCAGGCTGGTCTGGAACTCCTGACCTCAGGTGATCAGCCTGCCTCAGCCTCTCGAAGTGCTGGGATTACAGGTATGAGCCACCATGCCCACCTTACAGAGGAAATATTTAATGGAGACCCAGTTTGTACCAGAATGTGCAGTACTCAAAACAGCAGCATAATGTAGTGATGGAATAGGAAATACATGCTTGGTCTCTGCCCCAATCCTTGACAGAGCTCTGAATCCCTTGGAAGTAGGAAGTTCCTTTTGCTGATAGCAGCATCTTTGGTTCTAATGAGGTGACTCTTGGTGGGTTCCTCTATAGGACTGCTCAACAGAAAGACCAAGCCATAATTACAGCTTGCAACTTTCATCCTCCGAGAAGAGGAGAGCAGCTGGAGATTGGGTTGATAGGCCGTCAGACCCACATGATGAAGCCACCATAGAAATCCCTGAACCATGGGACTCACAGACAGCTTCTGGGCTGAACACACAGAGGATGTTGAGCCCAGAGAGGGCAGGGAAGCCCAGCACCCCTTCCCCCATACCTTCCCCTATGTGTCTCTTCCATCTGGCCATTCTCCAATCATAGCCTCTATAAGCAATGAGTAAATATAAATAAAAGGTTTCCCTGAGTTCTGTGAGACATTTTTGCAAATGATCAGACAGAAGACGGGAGAAGGTCATGGGGATCTCCAAGTTATAGCCAGTTGGTCAGGAGGCAGGGGAGAGCTCAGAAGCAAAGGGTAGACAGAAAGGGTCCATAGGAACCTGAGTGTGGGGGAGGATCCCCTCCTCCAGGAAGCCCTCCTGAGCCCCTCCAGTTCTTGAGCACTCACCAAGCACAGTGGGCAGCCGAACCTAGGTTCTTCCATTGTGATGGAAGCAGTCATAGTAGATAAGATGAAGAATTGTAATAATCTACAAGTAATAATGTGTAATGATGTGTAAAAGGCGGCTCATGCCTGTAGTCCTGGCATGTTAGGAGGCTAAGGCAGGAAAACTGCTTCAGGCCAGGAGTTCAAGACCAGCCTGGGCAACATAGCAAGATCCTGTTCCTACAAAAAAAAAAAGCACAAAAATTTAGCCAGGTGTGACAGCGAACCTGTAGATCCAGCCTGTAGATCTAGCAAGGCTGAGGGGAATGGTGTCTAAGCTGTGGGCAGTCTTGCACACTTAACCTGAGGGGGCTGATGCCATCTCCAGGTATACAGGGTCAGAACTCAGTTAATTTGTAGGGCAACCAGTTAGTGTCCACCAGAGAACTGCTTGATAGGGAAAAAGACCCCCTGTCCCTGGTCGCAGAAGCATCGTGTCTGAGCATTGAGAGGACAGTAGCAGGAAAGAATTTGGCATTTCCATTGACACCTGCAGCAAAGACGGTAGCTACTGAGCATGCCCACTGGCCCTGGCTTGGAACTCACCTGCAGTTCTCAGTTCATCCACCCAAAGAAGCAGAGGGAGAAACTGAGGCATGGAAGGGAGAGTGGTCCCAGAGGCAGCAGTGGCAGAGCCAGGACTTGAACCCAAGTGGTCAGCCCCGGACCCCAGGCTCCTGAGCACCCCACCATACTGGACACATCAGTACGTAAATATATACTCAGACATGAGACCAGAGGGAGACGCACATTCTTTGGGGTCACTAGTGATTTTGTTTCATTCATTTTTAGATTATTACTATTATAACTATTCTAGAAACAGGCTCATTTCACTGTGCCGCCCAGGCTGGACTGCAATGGTACAATCACAGCTCACTGCAGCCTCCAATTCAGAAGCTCAAGCAATCCTCTCACTTCAGCCTCCCAAGTAGCTGGGATTACAGGTGCATGCCACCACATCTGGCTACTTTAAAAAAAAAAAAATTGTACAGATGGGGTCTCACTATATTGTCCAAGCTGGTCTTGAATTCCTGAGCTCAAGCAATCTTCCCACTTCAGCCTCATGAGTAGCTGGGACTACAGGTGCACCCCACCACGTGTGGCTTTTTTTTTTTTAATTTTTTGTAGGGATGGGGTCTTGTGATGCTGCATAAGCTGCTCTTGAACTCCTGAACTCAAGCAATCCTCCTGCCTTAGCTTCCCAAAACCCTGGGGCGTGACTCATGGTGCCATGCCCTTACGCATCATCATTTAAGCCATCTACAATAAACACTCTCATAATACAAAAAAGAAAGAAAGGGTAAAAGTGGAAAACTGAATGCCACCTGTTTTTGAAGCGCTCAGTGGCACCGATGGGGCTGATTTGGGTGTGGCCTCAGCGGGACAGAGAGGGGCCTCTGAGTGAGGGTTTCCCATGCCCGGGACACGCGCCTTTTGCTCTGTGGTCTCCCTGCCTTGTCACAGGCCACTTGGGGACTGTTACCTTGCTGGGCTGATCTTTCCAGACAGCTGAAGACGAACAGCCCCGGGGACACTGAGGACAGCCTGGTGGAGAAGGACACTCACGCCCCAGCCCCAGCTGCTCCTTCAAGCGTCCTGGCTGGCGTCGACCTCCAGCAGAACCAGCTCCTGGCCAGACATTTGCACAGATAGGGACCCGTTGAGGCTGTGCACTCTGTAGTGCCCGGCAGCTGCCTGCTCCTGCAGGGAGGCAGGGGAAGGACAGGAAGGGTCTGTGGGATCCTGGGTGTGGGGGAGGGCTCTGCCTTCTCCTCCAGGAAGCCCTTCTGGGCCACTCCAGCTTTGAGCACTCACCAACCATGGTAGACAGCACACAATCAGGAAGAGAGACAGACAGGGAGGAAGCAGGAGATAGCATACCCCAACCCCAGCTCCTGGCCCAGGAGTACAGTCTCATCTTGACCTTTCCACCACATGTGAAATGGGAGTTCTTATTGTGAAATGGGGAAACCGAGGCTCTGAGAGGGTCACATAGGCCACCTGAGTCTGCCTAGCTCTAAAACTTGTGCTGCTGCCTGAAGGAGGCTGGTGGGGGAAGCAGAGGACATCTTCGCAACTCCGCCACAGAAAAGGAGGCCCCCATAGACTGCCTGCCAGGAACCAGAGGACCCAGAACTTCTGGGGTTCAAAGGGCATAGCATCTGAGTAGCCGAGTGATCAGGCTGGAGTGAACACGTGGCTGGGCCCAACAAGGGTATTGAGGGGAGCAGTGGGAGGTGAGAGCAGAGAGGCCCAAGGCTCCACCAGCTCTGCAAGACCCGAGTTCCTCCCTTTCCTGATCTGGGCCTCAGTCGCCCCATCTGCAAAGTGGGTTTAGCCCTGTGGTTCTCAGTCCAGCCTGTGCATTACAATCACATGGAAAGCTTCCCCCCCCCCCTTAATTTTGTGAGATGGAGTCTCACTGTGTTACCCAGACTGGAGTATAGTGGTGCAATCTCGGCTCACTGCAACCTCCACCTCCTAAGTTCAAGCGATTCTCTTGCCTCAGCCTCTTGAGTAGCTGGGATTACAGACACCTGCCACAATGTCCAGCTACTTTTTTTCTATTTTTAGTAGAGATGGGTTTACTGTGTTCCCCAAGCTGGCCTCAAACTCCTGACCTCAGGTGGTCTGCCTGCCTCGGCCTCCCAAAGTGCTGGGATCACAGGGGTGAGCCACCATGCCCAGCCTGGAAAGCTTTCTTAAAGAATGCCTGGTGCCTCCATAGATGAACTAATAAATAAAATATGATTCATCCACACAATGAAATATTATCCAGTGCTAATATGAAATGAGCAATTAAGCTGAAAATGACATAAAGGAGGCCAAGCATGGTGACTCATGCCTGGAATCCCAGCACTTCGGGAGGCCAAGGTGGAAGGATCACCTGAGGTCAGGAGTTCGAGTCAGGCCTGACCAACATGGAGAAACCTCACCTCTACTAAAAATGCAAAAATTAGTCAGGCCTAGTGGTACATGCCTGTAATCCCAGCTACTGAGGAGGCTGAGGCAGGAGAATCTCTTGAACCCAGGAAGCAGAGGCTGTAGCGAGCCAAGATCACGCCATTGCACTCCAGCCAGGGCAAAAAGAGCAAAACTCCATGTTTAAAAAAAAAAAAAAAAAAGGACATCAAGGACACTTAAATGTGTATTACCAAGTGAAAGAAGCCCATCTGAAAAGGCTGCACACCGTATTTCCAACTCTGTGACATTCTGGAAAAGGCAGAATCACAGAGAGTGAAAAGATCAGTGGTTGCCGGAGGGTGGAGTGCAGGAGGGATGAAAAGGTAGAGCCCAGAGGACTTGTTTAGGGCAGGGAAGCTGCTCTGAATGACGCTGTAATGGCAGATCCACGACACTATATGCATCTGTCAAACCCTAGACTGGCAGGGCATGACGACTCACACCTGTAATCCCGGCACTTTGGAGACCAAGGCAGGACGACTGCTGGAGGCCAGGAATTTGAGACCAGCCTGAGCGACAGAGCAAGAC